AAATCTCCCGTCATTGAAATCTGATAATTATTTTCATTTTCTTATATTTCTTTTTGTATAAATTTTTTTTCTACTCGAATTACTATTTGTATTTTTTTTAGTGTTTAAGACAGTGGAAAAAAAAACTGAAAATAAACTTTGTTGAATAATTTTGTGTTGATACTATATTGATCTTGAAATAGGACATTTCATATATTAATATGCACATTTTTATGTTACTTTTACAAACTTATGATTATTAATATAAATCAAATAATATCACATTATGTTTGGACTAACTATAGAGGTTTCATTTTAATCCCGAAGTAAATCTAGAATTTTCAAAAAGAAAAGTATTTTCGAAAGTTTATCTAACGAGGAAACGCTTTCAACCGATCAATCGATTTTGAATTCGAACTCAATGCATAAAGTAAAGTTTTAGTCTTTGGCATGATGAATACTAACAAATCAAATGACGACATATCGACCTTAGATCTTACTTACTGACAGACCTATTTGTCAACGAAATGCCCTGAATATTTCCTTCTCCAGAAATGAAAATACCAAGAATCAGTTGTATTCCATGAAAGATGCTAGAATTTTCTGTTTTTCTGGGATTGTAATATCTCGAAAAGGAGATGTTCTTTTGAATTGAAATTGTCAGTGTATTCTACTGACAAATAGATCCGTCTGTAAGCAAAGTCTCAGATCGAAATGCCGTCATTCGATTTGTTGGTATTTACCATGACACGGGCTAAAATTCTAGTAGAGTGTCTATAACTTTGGACAGAAGACCTAAGGGAATTTATCCTTTTGACGTTTTTCATATCTCACTGAACTCTACTTTATGCAGTGAGTTCGAATTCAAAAGCAATTGATCAGTTGAAAACATTCCATCGTAAGATAGAATCATTTTAATTGTGTTAAGAAAATTTATATAGTGGAAAAGAATAATTTTGGCGATATATTGGTATTGAGCGCCCTCTTTTTCTTAGCTTTGTAGTATTAAAATCTGAGTACAATTTCGATCCAATGAAAATGTTCTGTTTACATCATAGAATTACAAAAAAGAAAGAAAGAAGGATTCTCTTCGATTAGAATCATTTCAGTTCATAGCTTTCTGATAGTCAGTCACTCGATATAAAACAACCTTGTATTTTTAGGTATATATATACACACACATTTTCTTCGATAAAAATGGCTGCAATGGAGTTTGATGATGTTTATGAAGAAATTCGTGGTGTTCTTGTAAGTGTTTGTCTTTTTTTTGTGTATTAAATTATTGGATTCTTTATATTATTGTTTTTTGTGTATAGAATCCGGGTCGTTTAAAATTGACATCAAATTCAGTTGTTTTTAAAAATTTACGAACTGGTAAAGTTGAAACAATAACTAAAGATGAAGTTGAGAATATTAAATGGATGAGACGTTCACGTGGTTATGGCTTAAAATTTATTACAAAAAATGATACATCTTTACGTTATGATGGTTTTAAAGATACAGTTCGTATTTTTCTAATAATCGAAAAACAAACAAGACACTATGTATTTTCTTTTAAATAGGATATTGATCGTTTAAAAGAATTTATGACAATTAATTTTGGTAAAAATATTGAAACACAAAAAATGGCAGTTAATGGTTGGAATTGGGGAAAAGTATCATTTGGAAGTAGAAAAAAAATAAATAAATACATTATTTCAAAATAATCGTTTGTTTTGTTTTTATTTATTTAGCTGGCAATCTTTCATTTGAAGTTGATCATAAACAAGCATTTGAAGTTCCATTAAAAAATGTTTCAAATTCAAATAAAGGAAAAAATGAAATAACACTTCAATTTCATCAGGCTGATGATGCTAAAGTATCATTAATGGAAATTCGTTTTTATGTTCCACCAGGAGATGTTGATGGTGATGCAGTTGAAGTAATTATTAAATCAGAAAATTATTTTTGTTTAGTCTAGTTTATATACGTTTAGGATTTCCATCAAAATGTAATGAAAGGTGCTGCTGTATTAACAGCTAAAGCTGGTGATGCTATTTGTAGTTTATCAGATATCAATTGTCTTGTACCACGGTATAAAAAAAGAAAAAGAAAACTTTTAGAACAAGAAAAAAAAATTATACAAAATTTTTTATTTTAGTGGTCGACATGAATTACGATTCTATCCAGGCTTTTTTGATTTACATGGAAAATCATATGATTATAAAATTCCATATAATCAAATTACACGTGGTTTTCTTCTTCCACATAAAGATAATCGACAGATGTATTTTGTGGTAAATTAATATTAATCAAGTCTATTAGGAGAATACTAAAGAGAGAATGTCGTAGTGTTAAATTGCTTTTGAAATGAGTTTTTATAGAGAAAGTTGAAAAGAATTTATGACCATGGGCCTTTTTTCTTGAGTTATGAATAATTTAGTTTGTTTCTTAAATAAAATGCTCATCACTTTCAAAATTGACTTTTGAGTTCAAATCTTCGACAGATAAAATTCTCAATGGGACTAATTCATTAAGAAAATATGACATTTCATAATATCGTCTATTCTCAGATACTAAGGCTGAAAATTCTGTTATGCAAAAACAAGCTAACTTTGCTGTTATATTTATAGGAGATATTAGAAAATCTAATACTTTCACAGTGAACTCAGTGTCTTATGTAGATTATCTCTTTCGGGGGGCGAATATCTATTTTTGGGAGCATAGAAACATAGTACATGTTAAAAAAAATCACAAGATCCAGGAGAGCCAACCCGATTTTTGAAGTGACGCCGTCCACTCGATCCTTAAGCTGGATAAAACACTGAGTGAACTAATTCTATGGAGAACTTTGGTTATGCAAAGTTTGAACTGAATAGTCAATTTTTTTGGTGATTGAAGGAGGACTATAGCGTTTAGTTTAAAAAAACAAATCATAAGTGTTTTTTATATGCATAAATGCCAATATTTCTTTTTAGCTTAGTTTGGATCCACCAGTAAAACATGGTCAAACACGTTATCAATATATTATATTTGGTTTTAAAAAAGAAGAAGAAACAACAGTTGAAATTTCATTATCACCGTATGTTAATCTATATTAGATTGTTTTTCGATTGAAAAATTTTTATTTATCTTTCTTTCAGTGAAGTTATTCAAGAAAAATACGGTAATAATCTTCATAAAGAAATGCAAGGTCCTTATCATGATATTGTATCACGTTTATTTCGTGCTATTACTGAACAACGTATAACTGTACCTGGCTCATTTACTAGGTAAAGAAAATCTTGCTGTTTAAACAAAAAATAATTGATTATTTCTGTCTTTTTTTTTTTGAATAGTAAAAGCGGTGCTAAATGTGTTAGTTGTGCATACAAAGCATCAGCTGGTTTACTTTATCCACTTGAACGTGGTTTTATTTATATAACCAAGCCACCAATATATATTCATCATGATGATGTTGCTTCATGTGGTTTTAATCGTTCGAATACAGCTACTGGTCGTACATGTGATTTTGAAATTCAATTAAAAAGTGGTGGATCACATGTATTTAGTAATATTGAAAAGTAACATGAAATAGTTTTGTATGTAAAAATACGAAAATGAAATTCATATTTTATTTTTTTAGAGAAGAAGCTAAACCCATGTCGGATTTTCTTAGTTCAAAGGATCTTCGTATTCATGCTGCTAGTAATTGGGTAATTGAAAATAATACTCATTTAAGAAAAAAAACAGAACGATTATTCTTTTTTTAGGATAAAAAGATTAATTATACAGTAGATAAAGATCGTGATATTTACTTAGAACATGTACAAAATGAAGGTCAAGAACGAGAAGATGATGATGTAAGTTGTTTTTATTTAAGGAAAAAAGAGGAATTGATATATGTTTGATTTATAGGATGAAAGCGATGATGAAGAAGAAGATGAAGACTTTCAAGGTAAAAAAATAAAAGACTTTTTTTATTATATTTTTTCGAAAACCAAAAAAAAAACATCTGTTTTGATATATTTCAGGTGATGAAGAAGAAGATGATGCACTTGAATATGATAGTAATGCATCAATACATTCAACTGAAGATGAAGATGAAGATGGAGGTAAAAGTCCATCAGCATCGAAAAAACGTAAAAAACCTGAATCATCATCTACTTCGTCAAAGAAAAAATCGGATGATCCCAAGAAGAAAACTAAACAAAAAGAATCACCAACCAAAAAACCACCAAAAAGCAAAGAAAAAGTTGAAGACGATTCTGATTAATTATATAGCAAAGATTTTTCTTTCATTTGTTGTATCTTTGTGTAAATATCACTATTACAAACACATGCTTATTTTTTGTTGTCTAGATAAAAAATTATCATTTAAGAGTAATATCTATTAAAATATATCATGAACATTTATATCAGCATTATCAATTGATTATACCCATATTTGATTAGAAAAAAAAGGTGGTTATACTCAAGAATGATCTATTTACAATTCTCATTAACCAACAATGAATGATAAGAAATCATGTGTGACATTGTGAAATACTTGTGATTTGAATGATTAAAGTATAAATATATTCAATAGTAAATTATCAATAGTTTTTGTTTCGGGAATCCATTTACTTATAATACATTCTTTAAATCAATTTTGATGATCTCAACATGAGGAGTAGCAAAATTCTCACAAACAGAATTTAAGACTTCTGTATTATGCATACACTTATCATTATTTACATTCACAATCTCTTTATATAAATAAAATTCTTATAATAATCTAATAAAACAATAATAATTATATTATGAATTCTATTCATTACATGAAAAATCTGTCAGAATTCTGATTTCGTAGCAGAATTATCATCCGTTGCATATACTTAATTCTAACTTTTTAGCAGAGTTGTGTTAGAATTTTGATTTTCTAGCAGAATTGTGTTTCATCACATAATATGAATGTTGTTGTTTTTTTCTTCAGTATTTTTTTTCGAATAAAAATTTCCTCATTAAGACCGCTCGTATGTCAATAAATAAAAAGTTACAAATCGAACGAAGAGTATATGAAACTAATTTAATTGTTTTTTAGACATAATATCGCCCAATTTAGCATCCCAATCAGTAGTCCCTTTAGGTAAGTTCAATTGATTAAAATTTAATGTATGAGTTGAATATTCATCAATAGAAATCGGAATGTTTTTTTTGACAAGTTGATAAATATTGAAGTGTATTATCAGCCAAGTAACAAAGAGAGACACCATAAACTGCAGGAATTGTAGCAGCCTGTGAAAAAAAAACTGTGTATTAAGCAATTTCTAATACAATAACAACTGGCAACATCAAAGACAAATGATGATGATCTTCTAACCATCGATAGGTTTTTCAAAGGGAACAAGATCAGCATGGATAGTGGAACACATAGGTAATTCAAATTATTGATAATTTAAGCATATTGTTTTCGCCACGAAAACGTCTGTTCTGCAGCCTGCGTATTGACATCTTTTAGCACTAAAAATTAAAATGAGTTGATAATAGGAAAATAACTACAATACAAATGTGAATCTTTATCTAGGTTCATTGTTTTTCGACAGAGTACTCCAATATGATTACGAAAATGGCTTCTGTCAACACTAGTGAATCTTGAATGAAATAGTACCATTTCAATCGTTTGTACGAGTTCGGTGTCACTATGATTTTTTATATAATTGACAAGATGATACCCGGCATCATAGACACAGGTGAACGCCAATAAAATTAAAAAACCTAAGGAGAAAACAGAATCAATGTAATTGATCATTCAGGATCTACAAGGTCTTGGTTGTTGTGGAGTTGAATCAACTATAAAATTCACTGCATAACGTTCAGGGTCTTCATGAATTGGTTCAACCATAATATCAAAATTTGATGTTCTTGGAATAGCAGCAGGAACAAAATCTGAAATACATCCATTACAAATAAGCATCGAATGAGAGATATATATCTTTTGTAGTCTTCTCTTTAGCATATCATAACTACTAGGTATAGGATAATTGGTAGTAAAGACAAACCTTGCTTTTTGAGTAACAGTGCGATCATCAACACCTTTTCTAGATAATACTACAGGTTTATAATCCATAAGTGATAAGATAGTGCTTAAATAACACAAGTATCTAGACAACTCGAAATCCTCAAATTATATCCATTCGATATCATTAGAGATTGTACCGACCAAAAATGGTGATGGATCACCAATTTTTCAAACTTTATGACCTTTCAAGCAAAAAACCTATCAGCTCTGTCTTATCTAATCCTGAAGATCTCTCCACATAAAGGTGTCTAACGCCATTAATTAATTGCATAATTTCATTAGTTACTGAATATATTCTATTGGGTTCTAATACTCCACAGTTGTTTTTTTCTTATCGATGTAAATCAGTCAAATGGTTTTCAATAATAGTACGGAGTGCAAAGAAAACTGACCCCTCGAGATTGTAATGTAATTAAATATTAATTAATAATTACAAAAGAACTGGATTCTACAATAACAGTAATAATAGTGAATGTACAATATCGTATACATGATTTACTGCCGTAGGATTTACTACCGTAAATAATCTTTATAAGGCGCGCTTTGTTTACATGCAAATTTTAAAAAGACTATAATTAAATTCGAGCTACTTCATTAAAATTATATTCATTCATCAATTTAAAAAATAATCATTCCAAATATTTATTTGTTGAACTGTTTTTCTTTTCTTTTTGTTCCCCCATCCCTTGCTCTGTTTAATTGAGTAAACTAATCACAAACCACAATTATGAAGCAATTTTGTGCATTTTGAATCTAATGTCCATGTTTATTTTCATATTCCATTAACAAAAGGCTTTGGATAATTTTCAATATAATACTTGTGATCTATAGTCTTGCCTTTATCTATACGCAGAATCATTTGATTTAAAGAATATACTAAACAATGTTTTGGTTAAAATCTGTCTCCATGAACAACAGTCTTTGACAATTCACCTTCAATAAGCCAATTAGTACTAGATGACTTATGACTAAACTATCTAAAATAAATCGATATCACATCACTAGTAATGCTAGAATACAACTGATATGATCGAACAAAATTTCATTAAACTTTTAAAACAAATGAAATATAATTAGGTCATGTGGTATCCAAGGTAGCTAAAATTTTTTTAGAAAAAGAGGTCAAAAAAAAACTTTTAATAAATTGTTAGAAAGGATTGACCTTGATATAAATAATCATAGCAACTATCCTCAACGTTTGATAAAATAAAATTGAAAATATCTCTGCATCTTTATATTACTATTTAATGTTCTTAGAACTTTTGGTCTGACCTAAGTATAATGTTTTATAAATATAAATTTTCTGAAATTTATATACATAATAAATTAAATGTAAATGAATATCCCTAGGTTATATTAAGATTAAGCAATTTTTTTTTTCTAGATAAATAAATATGGAACATTTATTAAAAATTTTAAGAAGACGAAACAGTAAAGTACTCGAAACAGAATTTGATTAATGTGTTCCTATTTATTTACGGTTATGTTGTCGATCGTTTTTCATTAAATGAAGTAAGAAAAATACTTTTCTTAAAAATATATTTTTTATTTTTTCTAAAGCCAATCTACAATATAATCGAGTGCAGTAAAAAAGATGACGATTACTACAGACTCGAATGTAATATTAATGGAAAAGATACTACTATTCATATTACAAATAATCTGGTAGAAAAAGAAGAAATAGTTACTCTTCATGCATTACAAGTAGGATATAGTGAAATGAATTTAAAAAATTCTTTTTTTTTTATGAATTGCAGATTGTATCAGAACCGATTCAATTAAATGATCTTGTAAAAAGGAAAGTTAAACATTGCCAGTAAGATATTATTCTAAAATACCCATTCGCATTTTTAATACACCGATATTAAATGAGTATTTGTCTTTTCTAGATATCAAAATTTACACGTGTTGGACGTGATGATGAAGACATTTTTTGATTCTTTATGATCAACAACTGATAATGAACAATCATCATTTTTTCTTTTTTTTTTTCAAGTTAAAAAACTGCTATTTTTTTTTCTTCTATTGTACTGATGTTCTTTCTGTTTTTTTTTGTTGGTTCATACGTACTGTCATGTCCATTGGACATGATGCATCCTCTCTATGGTTCTCTTTATTTTCTATCATTTTGTTCTATATCACGATTGATTTTACCTTTGAAAAGTTTATCTGATATCAACTCAGATGCATCCACTGATTAGACTTAATCTTTTAAATTTATCGAAAATATCGTTTATAGCTCATTTATTGAAATAAGAAAATGGTATATGAATTTTCTAGTAAAATCTTTATTTGAAGCTTTATATAGAGTTTATCATAACGAAGATAAACAATGATATACAATTTAATACTTGTTAACTAAATTTTGTGACATATCTAATCGATAGAATATTTGAAATATAAAACAAAAATTAATTTTTTAAATTGGATACTTTTAATGAAAAATTAAACAAAGTTTGTTTTCATAAAACATTTGCAACTTATCACAATATTCTTAAAATAATTGATACATGAGAAAAACATCAACATTTATATATTATAACTGATCTTTATCGTAAAAAGCATCTAGAATCTTATATATTTTATTTTCATCCATATTGAATATTACAAATTTTTAATGTTTCAAATGAATACAGAAAGAAAACGAAGAAATGATCATCGTACACAAAATATCTCTCCAGAACTATTCATATTTCTCTCATATGTCATATTAAAAAAAAGACAGATGAATAACAATAACATTCTTCTAATCATAAATTCATTAAGTTATGAACAATTTAGACTATTGAAAAATGCATTATTATTGTTATTGTTGACGACATCAGTCAAACAGAATAAACGGACAGATATACATATATATATATATATATATTGACTTTTCTATGGTTGAATAAAAAAATAAGTGGAAATAAATATGAAAAATTTATGTATCGAATTGAATGATTTACCTGATGAAATTCTTTTGATTATATTAAAAAACCTTGACAATCTTGAGGTACTTTATTCTTTTCAAGGAATCAATGAACGATTTAATAAAATTATACATGATCCAATATTTACAAGTCGTTTAAACTTTCTCAAATGGTCACCCAATAAATTTATCAATAAATTTTCAGATATAATAATTGATCAATTTTGTTCGAAGATTTTACCTAATATTCATATGAAAATTAAATGGCTAGATCTTGAATCATCATTTATGAAAAATATTCTACATGTTGCCGATTATCCTAATTTATATGGACTCGGTTTATATAATATCGAAGAAGAGACAGCTAAATATATTTTTACTGGTAAGGAAATCTCAATAGAATTATTTTAATTTTAAACAGAAAAAATATACATACTTTGAAATTATTAATATAGATGAATATATTAAATAAATTTCATTTCTAATTTATATTTAACTATCAAATGGTAAAAGGAAAAAAAAAAGAATCATATATACGAATTTATACATAGAAAAAAAATAAAATGGAAAATATTTTTCTAATCAGTAAAAAATAATTATTCATTATTTTTAAGAAATTTATTATAGATTATATATAAAAAAGATAATTGAGGTGAAGAAAAGATAATGTTTGAAAAAAAAATTCTTTTTCTGTCAAAATTTTGATCCTTGATTATAATCAGTATATGTAAAATAGGTTAACTTGTTTAATACTATTTATGTATTTAGACGAAAAACTTATATCTTCTATTTTTAAAAATCAAATTACAACACTTACTATTGCTATTGATCCAGATAAAAAAGTATGGTCGACAATGGAAAACATATGTAATCAGATTTTTACTGTATTTATCAATTTAACTCATTTAATATTTTTTGATGCATCATATAAAGATAATGTTCGATTATCATTTAAAATTCCATCTCCTAATTTTTCTTCTTCATCTCTTTCGGTATTAAATATCAAGGTTCAAACTTTTGATGTATGTCTTTATATTCTTGATGGTCGTTTCGAACAACTTCATACACTTCATATTGAATTGGCTAATATTTCTTCTTCATCAAAAGAAATTGAAAATCAAGTTAGTTTTACAAGAAAATAAATTTGACTTTGTTTTTACTTTTATTTCTCTAGAGAAAAATTTCAAATCTTAAATATTTTGTTTTATCTTGTTTGTTTAAAACATCATCTTACAATGAATTAATTTTACCACTTCTTTATCGAATGTCAAATTTAGAAAAACTTGGTTTGGATCTAAAAGTCTCTGTTGAAGAAACATTTATTGATGGACATAATTTAAAGAAAAATATTCTCAATCATATGTCACAATTAAAACAATTTACATTTGATATTCGTTCGGTTATATATATTAATAATGAAATGAATTTACCATCAAAGGAAGATATTCAACGAACATTCAATGATTTTCCATATACAAAAATAATATCTTGTGTTGATTATTTTCTAGAGTATAAAGAGGGTTTATGTCATATTTATTCATATCCATTTTTAATGAGACATTACGAAAATGTAACAAATAATTTTCCAGGTGGATTATATCCATATGTTCGTGTTGTATCATTATATGATGAATATCCTTTTGAACATGAATTTTTTATTCGAATATCTCAATCATTTCCATTTATGGAAAAATTATTTATCAATAATCGTTATGCACAAAATCATAAACAATCTTATAAACTAATGAATGATAATCAGAATTTATCAATTGTTAAATATAATTATCTTATTGAACTTCAAATAGATCATCGAACTCATGATAATTATATCGAAGAATTTCTATGTAATATGAAAACATGTTTCCAAAAGAATATTCTTCTTGATGTCCAATATGAAGCATTACAAAGAGTAACACATAATTTTACAAGAGATGATACACGAATTAATTGTACCAAAATAAATCAACTATGGATATATGGAAAATTTGAATATTCAAAAACTTTACAAGATTATTTTCCTTTTGCAATTATAGATTGATATATCTTTTATTATATTACAAATAAAAGAGAGAAGTATCTTATATTGTATATTGTTGTGAGAAAACAATATCTACGAAGATATTAATATGATCATGTGTAAGAAAATATAATCTGTGAAATAAATTTATTTTAATAAAAATATTTTTCTAATATAGAATATAGATAAGCATTGATAGAAGAATTTCAACTCTACACCATAGGAACACAAATTTCACGTGATTTCTACCATTAGAAATTTGTTTATTTTGCCTCATGATTTTATGCATATATATTTTTTACGAAGACATATTATGTGATAAAAATCTGCAATTAGAAAAAGAATCTGTTATTCGTGCAGAAAAAAGTTTTTTTGCTACAGCAAAAATTGGTCGCACTGAATCTTCCTGTTTTTGAAAATAAAAAGTGTACGATTAAAATAAGATTTATCTGGTAGATTGTAGACCTTTTCATGCTGCATCTTCTGGTATATTTTGTTTTTTAATAAAATGTATGAGATGATACAAAAATAAAATGAAAAATGCACCCATTTGTTCTCCATGCATATCTGAAATAAGAAAAGTACAAAAATTTTTTTTTGTTACTTTTGAGATTTATCAATCTTTTTGGACTAGAGCCAAAGGAAATTAAATGTAAACTATATGGTTCGGTAGAGTAGTCAATGCTCTATCCAACTGTATTAAAATAAGAAACTTTCAACGTTTTACATAAATACAGCAAACTATACAAAACTATTAAAAATAACGTAATCAACCTGTATATCTAATAGAAACATTGTTAATAAATTTCTGTATTGAAGATGAAAAAAAAGTAAAAAGCAAAATCATCAGAGTTTTTTTTCTATTTATATCTTATACTATTATATCTTATTCAACCAAAACCAAAACACAAACCCGTCGATATGAGACTATAAGACCAGATTTATTACATTTGTTTTCTGGTTGGTAAATGCTAAGAAATAATACAGTGCTCGAATATAAAGATCGATTGTTTAAAAAGAATATAATATTGTATAAAGATAATGATATCAAATGTTTTTTACTATAAAAGTTCCAGATTGAAACTGAAAAACAATTCAACAAGTATTGCACATAATTGTGGTTTGTGATTAGTTTACTCAATTAAACAGAACAGGGGATGGGGAAACAAAAAGAAAAGAAAAACAGTTCAACAAATAAATATTTGGAATGATTATTTTTTAAATTGATGAATGAATATAATTTTAATGAAGTAGCTCGAATTTAATTATAGTCTTTTTAAAATTTGCATGTAAACAAAGCGCGCCTTATAAAGATTGTTTACGGTAGTAAATCCTACGGCAGTAAATCCTGTATACGGTACAATATATACATGAATAGTTTTACACAATCTTACAATTTAAAATTTAAATCAAAGAATAGTTGTTATTTTCCATCTATATGAACCTATGTCTTTGTCATATATTTGAAAATTTAATTTTAACAGTCAAAGTATTCGTGATGAAAGTAATATAAAATAGCAGAGTGGATAACATAGACTGTAGATACGTGTTGTAATGTAATGGTTATTTTGTGTATGAATTATTATAATTTATAAAAATCCTGTCATTGTTTACAATCTTTTTGAAAATTTTTTAAAATCATGAATTTTCAAAAAATGACTTGATTTCAAATTTTCTTTATTTTCGTTGGGAGAGAATGAAATAATTTTCTAGTTTTATTGCATTAAGTTGCAAATTAATTACACTACATACTACATACACTATTATGTTAACCTATTTTAAAACTGTAATAATATTAATAAAAAGTGTTGGGGTCAGTTTTTTTGCACTCTGTACTACCAACGACAAAACGAGCATTGTGATCAGAACTAACAATGAGATAATCAGTCTTACCAATAGGTGTAGTAATTCGATAATTTCATCGAGCATGATGCCATGCTCGAGCATATACAGTAAGTTCAGGCATTCGAACCTTATATAATAAGGAGATCGATCCTCTTTCAATAAATAAATTAACCGAGCTTTTGTTGAACGACAATATTGAATGTCGATTGAAAAACCGCCATTATCCAAAAAATTCATAAATAATTCACGAATTTCAGTTAAAGAAAAATTTTCTTAAGTTTGTAAACAAAATATGATGGTGGTAACTATCTTTATCACCAGGTAAACCGGTTATTGGATCCAATGGTGGATTATATTTTTCATTTTCAACAGTCATACATTCAACGATATCACCACTAACAAAAAATTCATGACATATTTTATTCTACAAAATGTTATTAATAGTAATAGAAAAGCATTTGGATCATTTACAACTGCCTATCTACAACAAAACACGAATGAGCCATTCGCATTAAAATACATGAAAATACTTTTAAAAAATCGAATCGCAGAATGCTTATAAGTTTCATCGATATACTTTTCTACTGATGATGAGAACATGAAATCTGTCCAAAATGTTAGCTGACTGGCGTTGCCAATATTACGGCAAATGAAAATCATTCCGAAATTTTTTATCAAAATATTTCGATGATGATGTACTACTAAAACAATGTTTTTTTTAACTGTGCCCACCCTTAGTATAAGACTTCATTATGGTGAAAAGTATGTCATCCACCAATCGTAACTCGCGAAAACTTTTGATTTATTAATCGATAATGAAAATATTTCTACAGGCTTTTATTGAAAAAAGTACTTTAATATGACACAAAATTTTCAGAAAAAAAAACAAACACTACGACATTACTACTAATACATTAGTTCATAAAATCAGAATTCTGCCAGAATTCTAATGATATTGCAGAACTATTTATTTCAATAAGGGTGTGTGGGTGTGGGGTATGAGTATGGTTGCTGATGTTGCAGTCGTACATTTTAACACCACAACCATTACCACATCCACCCCACCCCACCCACATCTACACCCATGATAAGTTAGATAAACATAATTTATTTCTGCTGGTCATTCACCAAATACTGTATCGATTTGCTTCATAAACGGTCGAATGCCACATTGTTCACATGCTTGAAAAACTTCAGCTTCAAACATGTCCAGACAATTAGCTAATTGTTGATTGGAAAAACCTAAATGTTTTGCTTGAAATAAAAATAATTTTTTTGCACCAACTAATCGATCAGTACATGTAAAAATAAATTTGAGAATTGTTTCAAATTTATATAAAAACCATCGGTTGATTTTTGTTAAACCATATAAATGTTCGATTATATAACGGTGACGAATAGCTGTTGCTATACTAAATATACGTTCAACATGAGCAGTGGTTAATTTCACCTCCTGGATACTGATAATTCTTGCATTCTTTACGATCTTATAGAAAAATCGAAAAATCACTCTCTCTTGCGTTCTATCTTCGAGAATTAGCTGCATACATAGATATTTTATCGTATATGAAATGTGGATTGATACATCCATATTAATGAACATTTCGTTTCATAGCTGTTTATCGATACGACAGAACGAAAAACAAATTCTTGCGTTCCGCTTGTCGTCAACCTGAAGACAGCGATATCCAAGAGGTAAAATAAATATAATCATCATCACTTACTTGAACTACTTTCAGTTTTGTTTGAACATTGATCATATTTATCTAAATTCCATTTTGAAATTTTAATTACAACATAATCAAGACTTGGTTCAAAACAAGCACACGTTTGATTCGTAATATTATTTATTAATTCAGCTAAATTCAGTCCAAATGCAAGTTTAACTGTTATATATGCTAATGGATAACCAGTTGTTTTTGATGCTAATGCAGATAAACGAGATAATCCTACATTTACTTCAATTAAATAATATTCTATGCATAATGGATTTAAAGCAAATTATACATTACATGTACTAATTATACCCAAATGATGAATAAATTTAATTGATACACTTCGTAATAAATTATATTCATCATTTGATAATGTTTGATTTGATGCAACAACAATTGAATGATCAGTACAACATGATAATGGATCAATATTTTCCATATTACATATCACAATACAATTATTATATTGTTTTCGGACAACTTCATATTCAATTTTTCTCCAATCTTTAAATGATTTATCAATTAATAGTTTTGATTTATCAATTGATGATTGTGATTTATCAATTAATGATTGTGATAAACCAGCTAATATTGAAGTAACTAAAGAAATTAATTCTTTACGATTATCGGTATAACCTGATATACGATCCCCCTCAGGAAAAGTAGCACTAAATAGAACGGCTATTCAAGAGAAATATGAAAAATATCTACAAACCAGACAAGAACTGGATGATCAAATCGTTCAGCTGATATCAACGTCTAAAATAGACCATTAGGGATCATATTTCAAATCTTTTTGATCAAACTTCTTCAAGAGATTTAACAACTTCATATGATACAACTTTTTCTCCAATGTCAGCCATTTCTTGTGTAAATAAACATTGATCTGTAATACTTTGAATTGATTGAATCAATGTTCTATTCATATTATCGAAAACAAAAAAAAAACTATAATTTAACATATGAAAACATTTTACTCACTCTAATACATTACATGAATATTTTTGAAGAATACCTGATTCATGTAAATGAACACCACAATGTAATGCTGTTTCTTCATCAAAACTAAGTAAAATACCATCAGGACGATGAATTCGAAGAATTTGTTCAACATAGTTTGGTATTATTGAGAACGGATATACTTTACTTAAAAGATCTTTTGCAGTTTGAGGAATAGAAGTACTCTGATTAAGTACTACAGTGTAGACATTATCTTCATTTATTGCTTTTATTACTTGATTGTCTTTAAAATAAAATTAAAATAAAAAAGCCATTACTGAAATTATTTCTATACTAGAATAATCAAATTTCCCTGCTTGTCCAAATGTTCCTTAGTGAATGTACTCATCAAGAGAGTACTCATGCAGTACTCAGGATAGAAAATGGTGCGAGAACTCATGAGTACTCAAAAATTAGATATGATCACTGTACGAATTAACGTTGAGCTTTCAGTGCGAGCCTTGCAGGAAACAATAAGCCATATAATGAAAATCGAGTAGGTGTATGATGTATATGATTATCTGTTTTGGTATTCAATAAATATTCATACTCACTAAATATCCAAAGTACTCATTTGAGTAAGATGAGTATTCATGCTGGGAATTTTTTATTTTGGTTTCAGATGGTTTGTTTGAGTTTAGTTTTCTAATAAGCTCAATATTTTTATCAAAGTATTACATCTCATTCTAAAGAACGTCTGTCCACCACAATAAAAAATTCCCAGCATGAGTACTCATCTTACTCAAATGAGTACTTTGGACATTTACTGAGTATGAATATTTATCGAATACCAAAACAGATAATCATATACATTATACAGCTACTCGATTTTCATTATATGGCTTACTGTTTCCTGCAAGGCTCGCACTGAAAGCTCAACGTCAATACGTACAGTGATCATATCTAATTTTTGAGTACTCATGAGTTCTCGCGGCATTTTCTATCCTGAGTACCGCATGAGTACTCTTGATGAGTACATTCACGAAGGTTTTAATATTACTTTCTAAGATTAAAACTCTTTTAACTCGCTTATAAAATGCTGGTAGTGGTGCATTATCAGTACTACTATGTTTTGTTAATTGTTCAACTAAATATGTTTCGACATTAATTGATTTAGTTGATTTATATGATTGAATAACATCAAGAAATATTTGAAATAAATTTTCTGTATCACGTGGTCCAGCACAATATTCTGGATAAAATTGAACACTAAAAAATGGTTTTGAATCATGAATAATGCCTTCATTTAATAGATCACTTTGATTTATAAATAAAATACTTCAATCTTTAGCTACGCCTTGTGATGTTTGAACAGCAAAGCCATGATTTTGGGATGTTATAAAACAACGTTGAGTTCCTTCTAATAAACATGGCTAGAAAATATCAAAATAAATATTATTATACATCCCACAGCTATTATTAAAGACATATTTGATTGTAACCTCGATTTCCATATTTAAGTTTTATTATTTTCATTCCAGCAGCTAACGCCTTTATAACTAAAATCCAATCCATATAACCAAAGAACAAATTTATTTAAAATTTTTACTTGATGTTCAAGACCAATACCAAATACCGGTTTAATAGTTTCACTTGTAATCCATGATTCAATAATTGTAATAGTTTCTGGATATTGAGTTTGTGGATCACCAGGATCACTACTCAAAAATAAACCATCAAATTCTAGAAAGTCAAAAGAAGATGAAAGTTATTATTTAGTTTTTCAAATAAAATATCATCTTGTTTAACAAGATAATTTCATGGAAAGATTGTTACTTTTGCACCGAGTTGACATAAAATTCGTAATTGATTATTTTTCATACCACAATTAATACAAGCAATAGATATTTTTCCTGTTGGATTGATTATATATGGTTTCTGATAATTCAACAAAAAATAAAGAAAGAATCAAAAAGCTAAGAAAGTTTACTTACTTGAATAGAAACTTGTATCATAAGATTATCTATATTTAGATCTTGAAATGGAATTGATGCTGGATCAGTTCCTTTCATAATAATCTATTCATAACTAATTTAGTAAAAAAAAAAGTACAAAAAGAAATATGAAGATTTTACTTTTCCAAGTATTGTTCTATATTCACGAAGGTTTTTAGTTAACATACGTGTATCAATTCCTAAAATCAAAATAATTACTATCATGTAATTATAAACAATAAAAAAAAAAGCTGATTAACCATAAAGACCAGGAACATTATGTTTTTTTAGCTATGATGAAAGAGATTGAACAGTATTCCAATGACTATACTGTTCTGTATAAGCACTAACAATTAATCCTGATGCATAGATTTTATTTGATTCAATCCATCGCTGTATACCAAAATCATCAACAGCTTTTTCATCGGGTACATCTAAAGAATTTCAAATATAAAGTAAATATTTAATGGTTAAGATATAAAGAAACAAACCATAATTGCCAATAAGTGGAAAAATAAGGACTAGAATTTGTCTACAATAAGATGGATCAGTCAATAATTCAATATAACCAACCATGCCAGTTTGAAAGACTAAATAGAAATAAAAATACATAACAAAAGAAGAGATCAATTATGATAGAATCTTACTGACTTCATCGGTAGCATTAGTTGACGCTCCAAATACAAAACCACTGAATTCAGATTCATCTTCAAGTATTAAAGTTTCACGCTGCATCTTAAAAAAATAAAATAAAAATAGTTCATTATTTAAAAACCGATGATTGATGTATTTATATAAATGAAAAACAACTACTGTATATAAATATGTTTGTTCTATCAAGGCTTTAAAAAATATAAATACGGGAGGGGATATTGGACAGAGTCTATTCGCAGAAATGAGAAGATGTAACCATTTCAATCATGTTGCCTTGAATTTTTCATCAATACCTTTTGATTTCTATTCGTTACGAGATTTCAGCATTACATCTATTTCTCTTAGTTGAATGTATTTCTGAAATAAACCGAAAAAATATTATAAGAATATTCTATTATCTTTTAGTAAGGCACAACACACTATAATGAATGTTATGACATATAAATTTGTAACCAAAATATTTACTATAGAATTATTTAAAACAGCTGATTGCACTCTCAAGAAAAGAACGAAAGCATCACACTGTAAAAAATAGACCTTTTATATGAGCAAGAGATTGACAATACAAGAGCGCGTACCTAAAGCATCATATCTCTAACGAATTATAACTTTTCTAGTCTTTACAATCTTCGCTGCATGTGAACGTCGAACTTCAACTCCATATCCATATTATCTTGATGGATTCCAGTTAACTTTATTATGTCAATAAGAGATATAATGAATTAATTTGTATTTTATTCAGAATAGAATCAAGTATAGTGGCTTTTGATGAAGATAATCATAGCCACATACTCACTGTATGCTTGGATGTATGGATGGGTGTGTGGGTGTCACTACTCTATTCATCCACATCCACGCCTACGCCCCCTTCCCACCCACACCCCATACTCACACCTACACCGATACCCTATTTATTCGTTCATACAAGAAATCCAAGTAAAAGTAATAAAAAGAAAACTTATTGCTTCTCTTTGCCTATCTGTTAATATTGATTACATTTTGAATCCTATATCTTTGTTTGTTTTATCGATGTTTTGTTCGCCATATGGATGTCAAGTATTTTTTTTATTGTTGATGTCATTTCTGCTAGGAAATATGTCATAAGATTTATTAGGATGATTATTTTCTAAATCATTTTTATATCAATAGTACGTCTATGATATTTGACATCGTACCTCATATAGAGACAACTTTTCTGTCTTTGTCAAAAATACAATGAAAAGCTCGTCCTGCAGAAAGGACGTAGAGAGATTCTTTGTATTGGAAGATTTGTCCTGTCAGAATGAAAATTTTGATGACTTGCCATGTGTTCTGCAAAGTAGGATGACTAAATGATAATGTTCTGAAGAATGTAGAACAGGACAAAGAAGACCGTCCTGTGACGTTCTCTAATAGATAAAATAAAAGAATTAGAATTTCTTTTTTTCATCAGATATGATTAAGTGATTTATTAGAGAGAAAATGAACATAGCACATATCACACTACAGTATAGGCAAAATACGATCGCTGCCAAATTAAAATGATTGTAATTTTGATACTAACGAGATTTGTTGAATTATTCGAGATGATTGATAGCGTTGTCATGAAAATCAATTTTTGATAACAATTGTTACGTATCTTGTTGATTTTCTTGATCAATTTAATAGTATGTAATAAATCTCTTTATTTTCTTATTGCTCTTTTTTATTTGATCTACATAAGGACCTTCAAGTTGATATTGATTAGCAATATTAAACGAATAAATTAATAAAATTTGAACGAACTGTTGAGTACCTTAAAGCAATAATAAAACGCCATTTTCTACTTGGTTTTATTTTTCATCGACATCTTTCTTTTTTGTAAGTTAGCATAGGCAAAACATATAACTCATCAGCATATTAAGTATAATCAAATTCTTCTGATTCTTACATTAATTTCCAAAACAAAAAAAACAATAAATACTAGAATCATCTTTTTCGTTGTAATTAATAAATATCGTTTGTATCATAGGTTTTAATGAAAAAACAATAATAATATGATTAACGAATGCATGTTTTTTTAATTTATACCAACGAGTTATAAGTATTAAAAGAAGCTGTTATCTGATTCTGTAATCTGGAGACAATGACAGAATGTACTCGCAATTAGTTCTGTTTGGATACGCTTTTATTCTTGATATTTCAGGCTCATTAGATTCGAGATCTGTGAAATAGTAAACATAAGTCTATCGATTGTTTTATAAGCCAGTATTAATCATGTATAGAATATTTATCTCTAGAAAAACTTTCATGGAAGTAGTGATAAGAAGTAAAATATAATATTTCTTTAATCGATTTTATCGAAAATCATTGATTTAGATAGGACAATATGGCTGATACTTTTCAATTATATACAAGTTACAAAGACTTGAACAACAAGTTCTTGTCTTAATTTTTAAGATATAAATAAAGGGAGCAATGCTACAAATTAGTTGCAAAGTTGTTCGGTATATATTGTCAGATTGCAAATGAATTTCTTATATAGAAGATTCTGTTAATAAATAAATTTTAAAATTTATTTTGCTTTATTTCTTGAAATTCCTTTTCCCATTCTATCAGATTGTCCAACAGTTACATTACATATTTGTGAAGGCCGTATTCGTATTGCTCGTGATGATAGCAATAAAATGGACAAGTTCATTGCTAAAAAAGTTCAAACATCAATATGGAATAAACAATTTTATATCTATGAAATCTTGCAAATGTAAATGTGTACAATACAAAACAAGACAATTTTTTATATTAATCTGAGATTGTCATAGTTCTAGTCAACACACGACAGTTTTTTTTTATTTTAACGCAGGGTATGGATGTTGTTTCAGAGAAAAGGTACACTTACACACCCTTATATACAAGTATTAAACTTCTAAAATATTGATACTCACTTAACTATCTTAAGAGTACATTTCAATCTTTAATTGAATGACCTGAATAGATTCGTTAATGTATTCCATGACATTGAATGGTATTATAAAACAAAAATTTAATTCAATTAGCCTAACGTCACGATAAAAACTTTGTTACAAAACAGGTAAAAATGATTGATATATAATAGAGAATGAGTTCTTTTTTTGATAAATATCAATAAGTATCTCAAGAAGATGTTTTTGTGTAATGATCCGAAAAAAACCAACCTCTTAGGAAAATTAGTTTTGAAGATTATCTTTTGATTACCTTATCATAAAGGTCATCTCTAGGCTTCCAAAGCACGCAAATGTTTATTATCACAGATGGGGAAAAAAAAGAAAATAAAATGTTTTTTTCCTTTATTAATTATTCATTATTATCAATATATATGATAAATCGAGTTTTTATCAATTAATTTAAGAAAAACAAATATCTTTTAAATTAGTTTTTTTAAAATATAACAATTCTATATATTTGTACTGAATGAATCTAGTATATCAGAAATTACCGGTAAAAGATACAAAGTTTCTTTTTTCCGTTAACTCATTTATGAATAAATCTTCAATCTTTCTAACAGATGGAACAACAACAATTACTGAGAGAAGAACAATAGGACCTTTATTTTTCCACATTTGGTTGCCAGCTATAAATAAAGCGCATCTAGCTGTTTTTGTTAGCCTAGTTTCTTTTAGTCTAGTTTCTTTTTTCTACTATTGAAAATACAATGGTAAGACGAATAACAGTATCTATGGATTAACATTTTTATTAATTTCATTTAGGCAGCTGTATCAAACGAATTTTGGAATGACAAAATGAAACGTCTTTTCCATCTTTACGGTAATCAATTGAATATTTTAATTAGAAATCGACAATATTTTTTTTTTCTTATATTTAAGATATTGATCGAGATGGTTCAATAACACCAGTTGATTTTGAAATTCTTGCTGATAAACTTTCATCACTAGTTGGTCAAGACGATACAAAACGACGTGAAGATTATGCAACTGCTCGAAAACTTCTTTGTCAAGAAATAATGCGAGCTGATGAAAATCAAGATGGAAAAGTAACACTAGGTAATTATATTTTTCCTTTGAATCAATGGATAGAAAACAAAACAAAACAAAAAAGACATTTATTATTCATATTTTATATTAACAGAAGAATGGCTCCAATTTCATCGACGTCTTGCAGACGAATTACGTAAGCCAGGTACACATCCTGAATTATTAGAACAATTAACTCGACGAATTAATACAACATTTAATATGCTTGATCTTAATCATGATGGTCATATAGCACGAGATGAATGGGTTAAAACATGTCAATTTTTTGGTGTTGATAAAGATGCAGCTGATAAAACATTTACAACAGTTGCTCAAGGAGATAAACTTGACGAAAAGAAAGCTAAAACGCTTTTCTATGATTACATTAAACTTGATGATCCAAATCATATATCTAACTGTTGTGTATGCTTCCTTTAAACGTTATTATCATTTAACTTTTAATGTCGTTCAGAGAAATTATCCATAAATATCCCAATATGTTATGTGTGTGTTTTTATTGTATCCTTTCATTTAGTGTTTAGACCTATATATATATTTAATGATTTGAAAGCAGTAGATGACAAATAAACATGTTATAGAAAATATTTGATCTTTTTTATTCTTTTTAAAGATAAACTTAAAAATGCAAGAAATATTCCAAATTATTTTTAAAGAACTTTTTAAAATATTTTTCATAGTTGTCATGTATTCGACATTTAAATATAACAATTGTTAGTGCTATTCTGAAAAGCATCGTTGGCAAGTTATTAATAACGGATTAATTATTGTTGAAATGGCTTTTTTAGAATTGAGTTTTTTAGAAATAACAACAAGAAGAAGTTAGGGTTATTTTAACTTTAGAAAAAAAAAGTTCGCACAATTTTCTGTTAGAAATCAATTAGTACTTCGTATTCTCGATGGTTATCTGTTATATTTATCAAAAACGAGATCCCAATTGTACTTCTGTCTTTATTCTAATACAAATTTGAAGACGTCTGATAGACAACCATTGATACATAAACTTTCATTCATTGGTTTTTTAAAAACATACTAAAGTAGATTTTATTCAACTAGGTCTTCATAAATAAATCAGACTATTTGTTTATCTAAATG